TGCTATTTACCCATAGCTTTGGGGAAGAGGAGTCATACGTTTTCAAATGCTATTAGCACGTAAGTGAATGTCATGAATTCGATTGGAATTCGAACTCTCCGATTCCTCAATCCAAGCCGATACCCATTACTCCACCCTGTCTCGTATTCGTTGGCAAAGTTATATCCACGATTTGGCAGGTTCTTTTTCCCCTATTCATTGTTACCAGATACCTTATTGGTTGGATGAAGTGTTCTGTCTGTGTGTCGCAATTATATTGTATTCTATGTGTTTTGTCTTCCATAGCTGTTTCTGGTTTGTGTTGATGCGAATTGTTTCATGATCGAACCCAAATTGTTTGCATAGTTCCCAGTGTGTGACACTTTCCACCCAATTGTTATAGACAAGCGTATGGTTGTAAGAAAGAAATACGACAACAGCAGAAATAGATTTACGTGATTTATTCAATAGGAACGTGTGGATTTGGGACAGTTACATTGTGGTATAGTTCATAGGCCGGATGAAGATCTGGGTTGATCTCTCATAGTAGTTCTCGCTGGTTGGCGTGGCGCTACTGCTGCTAGCTGCTGCCGACCGCTCATCCTGACCGTGACAGGTCTCTTCCCTGGCCTCCTGTTGACTGCCGTTTTACTTCCGTGTGACCCCTTTTATGGCGGTTTTTTATGGCTTAACAGGCTCGAAAAACGACGCGAGTATAATTAGGAGGGAAGCATTTTTATTGGTCGAAAAATAGAAACACTTTAAAATATTATTTTATTTTTCGACCGGAACTCGTGCGTCGGGAACATGCGTAAACGAAGATAATGGTCATTTTGTGACGGGGCCTTGTCCCGTTCACATCCGGCTCTCGCTCTTAAGTATGTTAGTTTATTGGCTGTAAATCAGCCGGGATATGTCTTATTTTATTTTATAACACTATCAAGTTTTCTTTGTATTCATTTTAGATTAGCGGGCTATATATATATTGCTTATGTGGTTTAACGTTTTATCTCTTTCCCACCATGAGCGGCATCTGCTGTTTTGTGGTGTTTTCTCAATCTTCGTTTTGTGGTAGCCTGACATAATATCTACTTAGTCTGTGGTACGATGACAAAGGATCCCGTTTCTCTTTTCAAGTGTCCTCTCCGATTTTATTATTCGTGCATTTTTTTTAATATTATTGCGGAGGAGAAGGTGAAATAAGTTTGAAAAGTGACCAGAAGGCTTTTTAGTTAGATAAGGTCGGCTGCGTATGTAAAACTTCTCTCCTCGACAAGCATTTAATTTTTGATGTATGGCACAAGGCTAACAAGACTATCAAAAGATGACAAAATACGTAAAACAATGTGTAAAACAATAACAAAATAGTTATATACAAATAATACAATTATTAAGAATAAATTGCTGAGAATATTAGTTTCAAAATTCAGTAATGTTAATTGAACAAATAAAAATATTTAAAATGTTCCTTCAAAACAGTGTCGTTTGTTACAGAAATTTTACGATGCAGAAATAAGAGTTGCTTACCCTTAACTAGAAAATTAATTATTTAAAAATTGTTCTTTGAAATTAGAATTTTTTATCAGGTCTCACAATGAAAGGATTTTGTTTTTTAGAAGAAATGTTCTTTGTGAATTAGTTAAATGTTTCGTGTAATATGAATATAATGAGAATGTCTTTGATAAAATAGAACTTTGAATATTTAGTTGATGTTTCAAGAAGTTTCTATTTGGTACTAAATAGAATTTAGTTTTTGTACTTCTTAAAATAATTACAAGTCTTGCCACGAGCAAATTTTGTTAAATAGAACTGAGTGAGAATCTTTCTGGAATTATGTCCTGAAAATCTGAAAATGTCTTCAGTAAACTTGTGACTTCAGGAAAAAAAAAACTTTTCTTTTGAGTCATTTCTTGCTTGTGAAGAATTGGTAAAAACTGTAATATCCAAGTTAAATTTCTTTATCGTGGCAACAATGTGTCTAGTTGACTTTTCTTTTGTCTCACTGATGGGGTACATTGGCACTTCTTATTTATTTTGTTGTCTGTCACTTGACAGGCTCCAGGCTGCCGTTTCAAAAATATTAGCAGCAAAAGCTGATTGTTTAGGCGTCTTTCATGTTTATTGCTATTCAGCCAATCCGCAATTATAAAAATAGCAAGGTTTGTGTGATCGACTTTTTGCACCAAATTTTCACTTTTTTAAGAAGACATATAGTAATTGCATTGCATTGTTTTGGGGTTTTTTTTTTAATTAATGTTTTGTTGAGAAGAAATTTAAAACTGAAGTGTAACACTAAACTATTGTGCTTTCCTAATTCCGATCATCGATCTTTCCTTGTTTGTCTTTTTTTGTTTTCCTGTTGCAATGATTCACGCATTTTTAAGTCTTTATCCAATTCCATCATCACCATCATCATTATTATTCTCCTCATTATCGTTATTAAAACGTCCATTTATTTTGAAACTTGATAATCGTTAAATTGGAAAATTGATGTGTCTCCCTGAATTCTATTTTCAAGCTACTTTCATGGCTCGTTAACATTTATAACAAACTTTCACCATCTTAACCTTCTCACACTATCTCTGCATTTTATTTAAATTCATCTCTATCTATAATAGGCAGGATGTGTGTGTGTGTGTGTGTGTGTGTGTGTGTGTGTGTGTGTGTGTGTGTGTGTGTGTGTGTAACGAATGCACGGCCGCAATTTTCGACAGATTTGCACCAAAATTTACATGCACATGCTCCAAGTTAGCGGGAAGGCCAAGACCGACTTTGCATTTCCCAATTCCCATCGATAGTGGAAATAATCGATTTTTTCATGCTTCTACGGCACTTTTGATGTAGTTTGCGGCCATTTTGTACTGGTCAAAGTGAGAACCTATAGCTGGCTGCCACGAATAGGCAGGAAGATTCTATTGGCCAGCATGAGAGCCAACAGCTGACTGACACGAATGTTAACTAGCATGCTAACATGCAAAAAAAATCGATAGCTGCATTCGTCACAAGTGAGAAAAATTTAAATCTGCATGGCACTTTACTCCAATTGGCTCATTCGCTTGCTTAAATTCAACGTTTATTCTGATTCCGCAGAACTGGGTTGAGTGTGAAAATGTATTTGTTGTTAACATTCTTTTTTCGTTCGATTTCCAGTTACGAGTCCTATTTTAAAGCTGATCGTTTTGTGTTCATTTTGTTTAGTTCTTTTTTCGTAACAGATTTAATGTTTAGTATAGAGCAGTATGAGATAGACAAGAAATAAGGCATGTAGCAACATCAGCACGGCAAAGGGCACTCCTTTAAAGGCAAGGAAGGGCAAAAATATTTTAAGTCAAATGATAGCGATTGCTGTATGAGTCGTACGATTTTTGAATCAAGCACGGGCAACGCCAGGTCATGCTGCTAGTCTTATGTAATATACACACGTGTATATAAGCAGGAGTAGAAGGTAACCGCATAGTTAACTCCCTTTTTGGAAATTGCCTCCCTTGAATAAAGAAAATAGATACTAGTTTCAGATATGTACCATCCATGATACACGCTTGACGAGGCAGATTTTTCCCCGCAGTAGGTTGCCATTTCTTTCTGCGGTAGACCAATTGCCATCCAAGGCTATAGAAACCGGTCTGTCTTGCTGTTTACCCGTAGCTGGGGCAGAAAAGAGGATTCATACCTTTCTTAGAAAGGGTATTAGCACGTCAGTGAGTGTAATAGACGCAACTAGAATTCGAACTCGACTCTCCAGTTCCTTAATCCGATCCGCTATCCATTACTATACCGTATAACTATTGTCTATTTTTGTACTAAACTGCTCTAAGCTGAATAAAGCTTCCTAACTTTCATCATTCTCCCATGTCTTATTACAGTATGTATGTAGGCATGAATATATCAAAATATATACTTCTATTGTGCATTTTTCCTGTTTCAATTTTTATTACACTGGTAGTTTTTTTTTTTTTTTGCTTTTTAAATATATTTTCTATTTTCCACGTTTACGTTCCAGTATTTCATTTCGCTTTTTACATGGTTCTCTTTTATTATTTTTTCTTTAATTTTTATGTTACAAAAATTAATAACGATATTCTACTAATTCATTTTTGTATTTCCTTCTGCATTTAACAAAAACTTTTTTCGTTCTCCATTGCGGTTTTTATACAAACGCTGAAATCTTTTTTTTTTTTTTTTTTGTTATTTTTCGTCAGTTTACAACCAGCTCGCCAGAATTTGCCAATTAAATACACCATGCACTTCGTTTCGACTGCCATTTTTATCCTTCGTTTACTCTACTGCTGCCAGCATTTTGATGCACACCTCTTTATACTGAATACTTATTGGTTCTAATTCGATGCACTTCGCTGATGATTTTAAGTTCGCATCCAGTAAATGGCCAGATATCCAATAACTGAGTCGAATAAAAAAAAAAGGGAAGATATGTTCTTTGTTTTTTGCTTTTTTCTGCTTTTCGATGTATTGAAGCAACAGATTGAACAAATGCTAATATATGTAGTGCCGACTTTTAGTGACCTCATCCCCTGAAGAATCAATCATCGATATTAAATCTGTCGCTTTCACATAATACTAGAGCAGCTGGAAGCAGTATTGGTCACGTGATATCGTTTCGAGTCGTATTTAATTTACTGATGCTTTTTTTATGATGTTTGTTTGTTTTTTTTTTTATTCTTTTTGTTTCTTGAAAACAATATTTTCTGATATTAGAACTTCCATCCTTGCATTTTACGACATAGTGGAATGTAATAGTAGATTATGTTTACATGTAATTGTTTTTTGTTTCTTTTTTGTTTCTTTTTTTCTTGTTTTGTTTTGTTTTTGTTTTTTTCTGGCTAGGTGAGTCGCCGTGTAAATATGTATGTGTGTCTATGCATGCTGTGAGCATAAAAAAGAGTGTAAACATATGTAATTGATATTTGAATATACTTTTCTGTCTTTCCATATATGAAAATATTCAGACCTGATGTGGCTACGGGCGATATTTGTGTTCAGGTCAAACGCAGAATTTCAGAGGCTTACGGCTATATCACGTTAAAACACCGGTTACCCTACGATCACCGAAGTTAAGCAACATCGAGCCTAGTCAGTACCTAGATGAGTGACTGCTTAGGAAACCCAAATGCTATAAGCTTGGATGTGCGGGTGGTGTAATGTATAATAGCTCGGAATGGTTAATCGGAGAGCCAAGTTCCAATTCCCGATGCGTTCGTTATATTCACTTACGGACAAATACCCTTGGGAAAGGCATGAATCCAACATTTATCTCTCCAGCTATGGGTTAATTAATACACCTCGTATCACTAAACCACTATTATCTCAAAAAAATTCTGACAATCTAAAAATATTTTCTAACTTAGAAAAAACTGCAAAATATTGGTAAGCCGTAGAAACCGAATCAATCAAACAATCAGCAGAATTTCGAAGTTGGTTTTCATCGATAGAAGGCAAAACTGCCTCCGAATTTAAAAGATTAGCAATAATCTTGGTGATATTAAAAAATTTCTTGCTAGCAGTTAATATATTTCAACCTCGAAAATGGCTAAATGTATAGCCGAATGCGCTCGGATAAAGAGAAAAATTGGACAGTTATTATATAATTTATCATCCGAAAAGGAAAAAAAATTATTAGGTCACATGAGAAATTGTATAAAAAACTAAATAAAAGCACCTTGTCAGTCGTATTCACTGAAATATATATATATATATATATATATATATATATATATATATATATATATATATATATATATATATATATATATATCCAGTATATATATATATAGATAGATAGATAGATAGATAGATAGATAGATAGATAGATAAACAAACCTAGTGAGCCAGACAAACCTGTCCAGGTTTCACCTAAGCGGATCGTCAGGGAAAGCGGTTGTATTGAGCACTTTTTAGTTAGTTGTTTACTCGTGTCGGGGTTTTTTCCTTTGGGCTTTAAACCTGTATCTGTGCGATTTTTTTCGACAGACATTCATGTTCCTGGCTCTTTCTTTTTTAAAACCTTTTTTTTCCTTCGAGATTGATTTGATTATTGGCAAATCAAAAATTCGAAGTTTTTCGAAACGAGTATAGTAACCTATATATATATATATATATATATATATATATATATATATATATATATATATATACAAAACGAACATCGAAGTCAACACTGAGAGGCGACAGGCAGTTTCATGCTATCTTCATATATATATATATGCTATCTTCATATATATATATTAAAAAATCGAGAAACCGCAAACGTATTTGGTTATAATGTGGATTTGTTTTAGTGTATATATTATATTTGAGTCTTCATATTTTTGCTACACGGGTTTCCGGTCTCGCGACCCTCTTCAGGCAAATAAAAAGAATATATTTTTAATTTAAAGAAATTTTCCTAATGTTCTTTTAATGTTTTATTGTTCGTTTTATGTATTTGTTGTGAGATATATTGTGTATTTGGGCAGCAATCCCTTTTTTACGCAAGTTTCATTGATATAACTTCTGTGTTCGTATATATTTTTTTTCTTTTCAGGGCATAAATTATATAAAATTTGTCCGAATGTTTTCCATTCCCGTTCGGCTACACTCTAGAGTTACATGAATGTTTTATTTTCCAAACACGGTCAGCACGTTGTGACCGTGTTCATAGTTGATGTTATTGAACATTTTCTTTTTATTAACAATTCTTCAATTATTTTTATCCTTTTTGTTACATGTGGATGATGCTTTTATATTTGTATTATCAACGAGTATGTTATGGATAGAGCTTTGTAGGTCTCCACCTGTATTTAAATGAGACGTAATTGAGCTATGGTCAGAGAGATGTAACGTGAGTCTTCTTGTTAAACATGTTGTAGTATATCCAGTATAATTATTTATAAATTTCGATTGGTCAGGAACACAGCTCATTAAGGGTTATGTAAATTCGTAAATGATTTAGGTTCTCTTTAATTTGGATCTTGCAGGTGAATTATTGTTTTTGACGATCAGGCTAGCGTTTTAAACATTTTGAAATAAATAATTAATGTAATTTTGTTGGTTTTGTCGACTGGAGTTGTGTATTTCTTTATGTTGTTTCTAAGTGAATGCGGTTGGAAAACATTCAGACAATTTTTATGTAATTTATGTCCTGAAAAGAAAAATATTATACGACCACGTGAGAAATTATATAAGAAAACGTAACCATCACAGCTTGTCAGTCGCTGTCATTGAAAATATATGCATATATATATATATATATATATATATATATATATATATTCATTATATATATATATATATATATATATATATATATATAGAGAGAGAGAGAGAGAGAGAGATATGCGTGTGAGTATACTGAGAGCTGGACCGATGTGGACGATTTGAAAATACTGATAACATTCTCGCAAGTTTTAAGTGTTAACAACTACGCGTTTAATGTTCACATACACATATGCAGTAACATGATTAGATAGATAGATAGATAGATAGATAGATAGATAGATAGATGAATAGACAGACAGGGCATAGATA